CTGGCTGTGTATTGATGAGTGCTGAAACTTGGTGATGAATAAATGATTTATTATACAATTTTCTCTACTTTAATTCAATATAAAGGTTTTAAAAAGATGGGTTAGCAAAAAAAAAAAAAAACTTTGTCAAAACACAGTCCAGCATTTTCCAGGTTCTGAGAAAAGATCTCATATCAGTTAGATCAAAGGCATCGCAATTAGGCTGTATTCAAAATGTGTCTGGAACAGAATTAGAACTATGAACCCCACTTACAGTGGTGCTTGCTTTTGTGCCCCATAGGTTCGTGTGACTGTGTTTCCCTCAAAGACCGTAGCTCAATATTCAGGAGTACCCTGGTGGATCATCCTAGTGGCTATACTTGCTGGGATTTTGATGCTTGCTCTCTTAGTGTTTTTACTCTGGAAGGTAAGTCCTGGCTGGCATTTGAGTTTTTATGTTTTTTGAAAACAGTGAATTTACACTGATGGTCTGTACATTTCTTTGTAATGCTTCCCTTTCCCTGACATTTTATTATAAAGCTTTGCCAACATAGAGCAAACTTGAGAATTTTACAGTGAAACCTGTATATCTACCAAGCACCTTAGATTTAAAGGTATGTCATTTGTACATTATGAGGAGCTTCCTAAATAAAAAAAATCTTGGTGCTTTTCACATAATTTAGCTGTTCGGAAAGTAACAATTTAAAAGTTTTACTACTTCAGCGTTTTCTTCATCTTAAATTAGGAATCTAAGCCAAATTGTTGGATATCCCATTAACCTGAACGTGTATCCTTGTTAATTTCAACTTCTGTGAATAAACGGGGCTTACTTACAGTTGCAGCCAGATTAGAAATAGAAAAGCATGAAATTGGGGTACCTGGGTGGCTCAGTTAGTTAAGCATCCGACACTGGATTTCAGCTCAGGTCATGATCTCACAGTTCGTGAGACCGAGCCCCGTGTCAGGCTCAGCACTGACAGCACAGAGCCTGCTTGGGATTCTCTCTCTCCCCCTCTCTCTCAAAATAAATAAATAAACATTAAAAACATGAAATTAATAACTCCATTGCAAGGGAGTCTTCATAGCCTCTATCAAACATGAGGAAGATCTGGGTTTAATTTGATGTTCTTCATGAGAATTTGGTCCCGCAAATAAAGTTTAGTATCTTCCCCTTGATTTCTGCCAGTAAATAGTCTACATTACAAAAATATGTGTGTGGGATGGATGCATACTTTCTTTGCCAAAGATTATGACCTATAGATTTTGGACGATTCTAAGTGAGTAAAGGAGGCTCATAGTCCCTTATCGACAATTACAAATTGCAAAAAAACTCTGAAAATTTGTAACGACTTATTTGGGAACAAGACGACATGTGAATATACCCTTTATTTAGCAGTTCTGTGAAACTAATGTCTAGATTACAGTGGCATTATGTATGCAGCATGTTACTTTTCTAAGATGCCAAAATTTCTGGATTTCCAGAAAAATTCTGGTCCACAGGATTTTGGGCAAATGATTATGAACCTCTACCAACAATCTCCAGGACCAAACCATCTATATCCTTCCCTTGGATCCAAGTATAATTGACAAGGAGTCAGGATATTGTCACTTTCAAATATTGGACATTTCTTTTTTGTTTTATTTTTCCAAGTAACTTCCTTTTCCTAGTGTGAGATAACTTTCTGGTGTCCTCCAAATGTGTGATTGAAGCTTCGTAATTGTTCATGCCAAGACTCCTCCTTGAATTGGACATTAGCCAATCCTACCTCTGATGTTCACTTTAGGCAGTAGGTTTCTCTGGTCAGCACAGCCAGCCACAGGAGATGCTCTGGAAGCTATTTTGGTATCAAAAACTGAATTTGAGGTTTGATATCTGAGGATGGCCTTTGTGTACTCTTGGGAGGAGGTCACAAAGACAGTCTTTTTCAGAGCAGGTCTTATTGGCAGTCTTTAATGAGGGTGAGACATAGCAGTGGGTTGAGAGTTAAGAAACCCAAGCTATATAATTTTAGGCAAATCATTTCATCTCCCCAGGGCACTGGTTTGTTTTAGCTCTTTAGTACGTACATTGGACTGTGTGATCTCATGGGTTGTTTGTAGCTCTAAAGTATCCAGAACTCAAAAGTGCAACTCAGACAACCTCTATGTCCCCTCCATGAAGATCATTTTTATTACTTTACGGATACTCTTCTTTCTGAAAGTGAACTATTTTTTTGTGTTAAAATCCTAGAACTGGAGGGCCGGAGAGGACTCTGGTTCAGTGGCCTTTAAAGTGAGTTTTGCACATCCACATAGGTGCCAAGATGAAGTGAGGCAGGGGAGTTAGTGCAAATATCCCCACTTCAACCAGAGTAGTTCTGATATCTGCTTTAAATTCCAGGATATTACATAGGGTTTTGTTGGAAGGTAAAGACAAAAAGTCCTTGAGGCTGGTCCAGTCGCTTTAATTGTGCCAACAAGGATGCTCATGCCTGTGGATATTAAGAATGTTGCCAAACTGCAGGCAGGACCAGGACTTTGGGTTCCTGGCTCATTCCTTCTCCCCACCCTGTTGCCTGGCATGTGTGACTGAAAGTTGGCTGGGTGTGTTCACTGTATTAAATGGGGAGAGTCAGAAGTAAACACCAGGACAGACAGTTTAGATCCGTGCTGCCCATAAAACGCCCTGTGATAATGGAAGTGTTCTGCAGCTGCACTATGCAATGTGTAGTCATGAGACACAGGTGACTACTGAGCACTTGGAATGTGGCTGGTGCGACGGAGGGATTTTTCATTTAAATTTGAATACTCTCATGTACTTAGTAGTTAGCATGCTATACAAAACAGACCTAGATTTTTACTTTCATGAGTTGCCAGGCTAGGAAGCACAGTTTTCCAGGAGGGCAGGTTTATTTGACCAAGCTATGTTTCAAAGGGCAGGTCCATAGCCTTATGAACAAGTAGACCAAAGAATTTCTCCATCATTGAATGAAGGAAATTATAGTAGAAAGTGGAATTACACTTCTGTGTTCATTTAGAGTGACTTAACCTGAAGAACATAGGTTCCTACCACTTAAGGGTTTCATAGTGGTTCAGAATTTGGGAAAATGACAGCAATCATTCTTTCATGATGGTAAATTCAAATTTATATTGTGATTTACCCACAAATCCAAAGGCTTCAGGTAGATGGCATTTGTTCCATACAAGTTACTGTGAAAGGCAGAAAAATGCAGCATCTTTTTTTATTTGGATTTGTGCTAAATTTTAGAGAACTTCCTTAACCTTTGTCTAAGTAAAACGCAAAAGTCAGTCTTTTGCCTGTTTTAGAGTTCATATTCATAATCGTTACAATGATTTTTGTCCTCAGGATTTCTGTTACAAATACAAAAATCAGCTGAGTAATGTCATCTAAGTATCTGACCAGAGGAGACCCATGAGAATCGAGTTGGTTTGGTCGCTGTCCGTGTAACATAGTGCGGTGGCTGTCCACTTTTGGCTGATCCATCATGGTCTCTTTGTAAATAAACAAGCTATAAATAGAAAACAGGTTAACATCTGAGATTTGCTTTTGTTTAGCTCTTATATAAAAAACTGTAAAACTGACTAAATACCTTGCTTCCTTATAGTGTGGTTTCTTCAAGAGAAATAAGAAAGATCATTATGATGCCACATATCACAAGGCTGAGATCCATGCTCAGCCATCTGATAAAGAGAGGCTTACTTCTGATGCATAGTATTGATCTACTTCTGTAATTGGTAATTGATCAATGTTTTTTAATTGCTAGCTGTGGGACGTGCTATGGTTGTGGTGGCTAACTTTAAGAGCAACAGCTTGCTGTGTGTGTCCCATTAACAGATGTTTCCAAATGTCCACACTGGCTTGCCTTGCTTGGATTTATTCTATTTCACTTGAAAGCTCAGGGTTTTTTTATTTTTTTAGAAATGCACAAAGAATCTTTTGTTGCAGGTGAGTTATTCTGTGTTGTTGTCAAACATCACCCACAGCAATGAAGAAGATTGTAATCTATGTACACACAAAAGGAGGCATTAGCCCTCCACAGTAGCCCAGTTTGCCATGTGTTGTCAATCCAGTACCTAGCATCCCACTTGGAATTTCAAAGATGAATAAGAAATCGTGACCGGTTTCTTGTCCATTTTGGAATTTCCCACAGATAGAAGCTTGTGTTGACTGCCTAATTAACCTGTTGCATGTTGGAAACATTGTGTTTCTCCTGAAGAGAAGGCTTTCTCACTGTCTTTTTTGATCTTGCTATAAAGTGATGGGGGAAGGCTTGGAATGCTTTTATTGTTGCTCAGAAATTGTTTTATGCTAGCTAAGCATGCAACTTCCTTTTCCTGCTTATCTACTACAGGTCAAAGACCATTACAACAAACTATGACTGTTGTTGACATGGTGGACATGATGGCCAATTTCAGAAGATGGTTCTATACTAAAGTGACCTTCATTATGCAAAATTCTAATATAAAAATGCTCTGGACAGTTACTATTTCAATGTTGTTGTAATGGAGTTTGATCTTGTTTCATGTTCCTAGAGATTTTATTCAACTTTGGTTCTTGGTTGATTTTAAGTTCATGTATTTTGCTTCTCTTGTGTGTAGATCCATGGAAACAGGAATTGGTGATAATTCCTTTTTCCATTTCTCTGGGCATGAGAGGATAGAATTACTCCATAATCCCTTTCCATGGCATGGTCATGATGAACCCCACCCAGCATTTCCATTTCAGTTTTACATACCACCCTTGATTTCCTCCTTTGTCTAAATGAAGAGCCACATTTTGTAACTGATAGGTATTTTGGCTTTTTGCACAGAATAATTATGGAGTCCAATGTAGAAGTGGCCTTAGAACAAAATGTCTTGGTCAGTTTTTCCTATTGATTTAGTCATGCCTGGATATAATTTTACTTTGCCCTGTGACACTTTTATAACATCTAAATGTTCCATTCCTGTTACGTGATACAAATTGACCCTTCCAACTGTCTTCCTCATCTTCTATCTGCATTAAGTTGAAAACACATCTGTTTCATTAAATGTACATTTTATTCATTTTAAAAATTCAGTTTGAGTAAAAAACTTCCTAATATGTTCTCAATAAAAATCTACTTTCGATTAGATTTTTTAAAAAATGAATAAAATATATATTCATTAATAATTTAAGTGTTAAATTTCCTTTGCCAAAAAAATCAGGGGTGCTCGGAAATTCAATGTAGTGCTACTGTCTTTGTGGTACACAATTGATTTTATTACAGGACACAGTTACTACATGATTTATTAATGAAACAGCTTAATTTATAAGCACAACAGGAAATGCAGGCAGTGTAAATTGCCTGGTAGCTAATGAGAGATATGTGCTGAGCCTTGGAGGAGAGAAGATTCTTAAATTGGCTCATTTGAACACTGGCATATTTAAATAGTAATTTGTAAAATATTTGTGATCTGATTCCATTTTGTTAGTGGGAATGGGGTATGAATAATCTTTGGTTTATGGCCTTTATTAGAATATCATTTTTAAAGACCAATCTTTTTAACCTGAAAATTAGATCTTTAACATCTAATATCGTGATTGTAAAAAATGGAAGCATTTTTCCATAACTCTTGTTAGTAGAGACACAATGGAAAAACGGACTTTTCTTCCAATGTTACAGCTGTCTTCTGTTTATCCCCACTGCTGGTATGTCTTTTGGACCTACTAGTTCCTTCTTAAAAGAAACCATGTTTATTTTTTCCCCTTCATCCAAAGGTAGGCGTAGCTGAACAGAAAGCTTAGACATTCCCATTTTGTGCATTTGCTTTTCTTGAGATACTTAGTTTGTTTCTGTTTCTCTTTCCCCTTCGTCAGTGCGGATTCTTTAAACGCTCTAGGTACGATGACAGCGTTCCCCGATACCATGCTGTGAGGATCCGGAAGGAAGAGCGGGAGATCAAAGATGAAAAATATAATGATAACCTTGAAAAAAAACAGTGGATCACAAGGTGGAATGAAAATGAAAGCTACTCTTAAAGGGGGCCAGAAAAAGCTTCACGGTCCCCAAACTGCACCCTCCCCCTCCCAGCTCAAATCAAAACGGACTTAAAAGGCTGCTCCATCCCTGGAATATTAACTTCAGACAGACTACACACAGTACGAACTGAGCAGTTTCAACTGTGGACGTGGTCATGTAGCCTGAGGCTCCGGTTTTGCACAGCCAAATTTAAGACTGTTGGAATGGATTTTTCTTTCACTGCCTTAATTTAACTTTCCGGGTTGCCTTTGTTGTTTTGGTGTGGCTGACTTACACGTGCCGGGACAGGGACCGCCGGGTGGCGCTCACGTGACATCTTCCCGCTTAGCCTAGCTGAAGAGGGCTCCCCGTCTCGGCGCTAACAGACTGGTCCTAACCTGGCGCTGCCTCTGCACACATTGTTCCCATAGGACTCGAGAACTCGCAAGTTAACTGTCCCTCATCACAAGACTATGCCGTCGGGGGAGTTGTATTTCGATTTAAAGTGCTATTCTTAAATGTGCAATAGGTGATGTTGCCATCCTGCCATCTTTTCCCATTTCCTAGATGTGTGAATACTCACACTAGATAACATACAGGTTTCATGCTTCCTTTTCACTAAAACACACAGGTGCAACAGACTTGAATGCTAGTTATACTTACTTGTATATGGTATTTATTTTTTCTTCTTTATAAACCATTTTGTCATTGACAGGCCAAAGATTCTCTTCCAGTTGGATTAAACCATCAGAATTAGAACCTGGATTGTCATGGTTTGGATTTACTGCAAAACAACAACAACAACATTCCTTATAAAGTTCCTACTGCATCTCCCTTCATGACAGCCCTCACACGCCTTCCTCCAGACCCAAAATGTTTAAGAAATAGGAATTAACCATAGAGGTTTAATCCTTACCACACAGTGGATATTTCTGAGTTTGGAGCCCTGTGTGATGTGTCCTGCATTTTGTGCTGTAACTTTCAGGAACCCTTGGAAATAATGTGTTCGTCTGCTGAACTTCAGTGCAGTTTAGTCCTTACTGCAAGTATTGTATAATCAGGACTTGAAAGAAATGGTGGGTGCCTCTGGCAGATCCAGACTGATCCAGCGTGAGACTACTGAGTATCTGATACCGAAAGTCAGAACATCATGGCTTTTAAGTTTTTAAATGTTGGAAACAGTGAGTCAATGTTCTGTCTTTAACTTTGTTTCCTCCCCTAATCTGTATTCCCCCAAATTACTTTGGGACTGCACTAACCACAATTTTAAATGGCTTAATTATAAGAATGAAGTGGCATTTTTATACATTCAACAGAGATTGAATAGATAGTAAAGCTGAATTTAAAAAAATTTCAAAATGTTGTTATATGGGGAATAATAGCAAGCAGGTGCTAATTTGTTTGCATATAGTATAAGCAGTGTCTCAATCTTTCAAAAGAACAAAATACAGCTATATGTGCCATTTTTGCTGTTGAGCTTTTTTTTTTTTTTCTTTTCAGAAATCGTATGCCCTTAAGATACTCTTGTTGTACTTTGGGATTTTCATTCACAGTTTTACAAATGATACTTTGTTTACAAAAATTTCTCTAAAATCGGTCATACCAGTGTTTGAAATCTCAATTTCTTCCTTAGGTATGCACTGTCTTTCTAGGTTGCTAAGAAGCTGGTATTTTGAGTGTTACAGACCTTTGTTATAAAAAAAATGAATAAAAGGGAGGGAGGAGGTGGAAGGGTGGTTCAACAACAATGAAACAAGAATGTAGTGGTGTTTATTGTTAAAAATGTCATCTCAAGTCAAGTCACTGGTCTGTTTGCATTTGATACATTTTAATACTAACTAGCACTGTAAAATTATTTCATGATTAGAAAATACCTGTGGATATTTGTATAAAAGTGTGAAATAAATTTTTTATGAAAGTGTTCACTGCTTAGTAACACCACATTATATATGTGAAACAAACTCTAAAATTATAACCTGAATTTTTTTTTTTATTCCATGGAGCCAAACTGAAGTATTTGAGGTTTTTATTTTATATGATTGAAGGTTTTCTTTTTTTCCTTTGGGCTCTACTGTTCAGTTGATGTCAAAAGAAAATGATCTTAAAGATGGTTTATTCAAGATGCCTACAAATTGAGAGATGTCGTTTAGCAATGATACCATGGAATGAAGAGTAAAAGTTCTTAGGGCAAAGTTGCTTTCTTCTTAGAAGGTATTTTGGATGTGACATGTGTCATTACTGATCACCAAGGACTGATCTGGCAGAATTGACCAGTCTGAAAATATTTTCTTCACCAAAGGATTTTGTTTAGATTTAAGCAATATTATGAACCTTTTCTAGCTGGTTTATCACAATCTAATAAATAAAAATAAGGCATGTATGTAGTGCTCAGATAACACAGCATGCACTGGCCTGAATAATTTTCCAATGCAAAATATACTGTCTAGTAAATTAATAGTTTTCTATTTGGTATTATATAGTGAATTGTAGTCTTAGTTCTCTGAAGATCAGACAGGTATTACCACCCAAAGAAATGTGGTAGTTTTTAATGACAGACCAGTGGCTGTGAACCTCTTATTCACAGTCCCAAGGATCCGCCCAGATTAATTACTACAGTGTGTAATCACTCAGAGTGTCAGTACTGTGGCCTGGCTAGGGTGATGGCATAAATGACTTGCACTGGACATCATGCCAATACTTTATAGGACGCCAGGGATTCTACCCCTTTCTCTCCCTCTTAAAAAATCGTACAGGAATGCCTAGAAATGACAGTTGTAGAGTAATGGGAATCATTTACAAACACTGACGTTTTGTTGTTGGTTACAGAATACTTGCCACAACCACATGCTGGGTCATGCCCTTGGGGTTGAGACTAGTTGAGACTATTGAGATGTAAGTGGGAATGCTTTAAATTGTCCAGACCAGGGGAGTAAGGATAAGACCAAGCCTTCTACTCTAAATGAAAATATCTTATTGAGAAGTGATCTCCAGTACACTAACCTATGAAAGGACAATGTGGGAAGACAGACTGGGATTAACAGATTGTTTTGTTTTGAAGAAAAGAGTGAAATGCTATAGGTGGCTGGGTTCCACATGAATACAACCTGAGGGCTAAGAAAACAGGAATGTATGAAAGTTGTGATCAGGTGGGGTAGCATAAAGTAAATGATTACAGGCAATTCTATAACACCTAAGGGTAGGGTCCAGTCATGGCTCAACCACCAAGGAGAAGGCAAGGTTCAAAGAGATGAAGAAAATTAACTTCAGAATGATTTCAAAAAAGTAGCTATCGCAAAAAAAAGCTAGTAGGACTCTGTTCTTCTAGTAGTTCCTGCTTCTGGTCAAATGGCAAGTGTTTTCTTTCTCTTTGTTTCTCTTAAAAAAAAAAAAAAAGGTTTTGCTGACTCTGAAAGGCCCAGCTGTTAGAAATGGGGAGCACTGAGTGCTGAGTACCAATGGCTGAGGCCAGCTGTGCAAAGGCGAGAACAACAGACCTATCTAGAGGGACTGTTGTGAAAGGATTCATGGTTAAATCCTCCAAGAATAAGTGAATTATAAAACACAAATCAGTGAGAAAACTGGTCTAGCACAGTGTGAGGGTGGAGAAGGTGCCACAAAGTATATAACCAGCCAGGGAATGGTTAATGAGGACCCTGGAGTAAAGGAGTCAGGTGCAAATTTTGTAAGTCAGTGGAGCTCATGGGCATCAGTCTCTGCCCTTCTGATGCCATCTCTCAGGCTGTCTGTTGCATGGAAATGGGCAGCAACAGACCCATGTTAGCAGAGATCAGATAAAATTTCCTACTATTCATTCTTTTAGAACATTCACAAAAAAGTCTCAAACTATAGGGATGACATTACTTCTTTTGTTATCCAGAGCTTAGCAGATAAGCATTCAATTCACCAATAACCAGTAGATCGATTTAAGTGAATATTCTGCTAACACCCTGTCATTGTGAAATGGAGATAGATGTCGTTTAACTGTTTCTTCCAGTTGGAAGTAAAACTTCTAAGGATGGTAATAGACTCTGGGGATACACATACAAATGAGACCTCTTATAGGAAGCTTACCTAAAACAACAGATGGCAAACCAAAGCAATCTTGAGAAAGAAGAACAGAGCTAAAGGGATGTATCCCAGATATACTACGAATCTATAATAATCATAACACTACGGTACAAGCACAAAAAAAGACCTATGTCGATGAAACAAAAGAGAGAGCCTAGAAATAAATCCAAACTTATCAGTTTATGACAAAGGAAGCAGAAATATGCAATAGGGAAAAGACAGTCTTAATAAATGGTGCTGGGAAAACTAGTTTCTTACACCATACACAAAAACTCAAAATGGATTAAAGACCTAAATGGGAGACATGAAATCATAACTCCTAGAAGAAAACCTACGTAGTAATCTCTTTGACATCAGCCTTAGTTAGCAACATTCTTCTGGCCAGGTTTTCTCAGGCAAGGGAAACAAAAGCAAAAATAAACTATTGGGACTATGCCAAGATCAAAAGCATTTGCATAGTGAAGGAACCGACGAAAGGAAAAGGCAACCTGTTGAATGGGAGAAGATATTTGCAAATGAAACATCCAATAAGGGGATTATATACAAAATATATAAAGAACTTCTACAACTTGACACTAAAAATAGAAATAATCCAATTAAAAATGAGTAGAGGACCTAAATAGACACTTTCCAAACAAGACACATGTGGCTAACAGATACATGAAAAGATGCTTAACATCACTAAATATCAGGGAAATCCAAATCAAATCATAATCAGATATCACCTCACACCTATCACACCTGTCAGAATGGCTAGTATCAAAAACACAAGAAACAAGTAAGTGTTGGTGGGGATGTGGAGAAAAGGGAACCCTCATGTGCTATTGGTGGGAATGTGAATTGGTGCAGCCACTGTGGAAAATAGTACGGAGGTTCCTCAAATTAGAAATACCATATGATTCAGTAATTCCATTACTGGGTATTTACTCAAAGAAAAAAATACTAATTTAAAAAGACACAGACACCCCTATGTTTACTGCAGCATTATTTACAATAGCCAAGATATGGAAGCAACCTCAGTGTCCACTGATAGACGAATGGATAAAGAAGATGCGGTATTTACGTTCTGTGGAATATTAGTCATAAAAAAATGAGATCTTGCCATTTGTGACAACATGGGTGGACCTAGAGCACATTATGCTAAGTGAAGTAAGTCAGAGAAAGACAGATGCCATATAATTTCACTTATATGTGGAATATAAAAAACAAAGCAAAGCAGAGACAGATGACCACAGAGAATTGGTAGTTGCCAGAGGGAAAGGGGGTGTGGCGAGGAAACAAGAAAATGGGTGAAGGGGAGTGGGAGATGGAGGCTTTCAGTTATGGAATGTGTAAGTCACAGGGATGAAAGGTACAGCACAGGTAATACAGTCATTAATACTGTAATAGCATTTTATGGTGACAGATGGCATCTATACTTGTGATGAGCACAGCATAATGTATAGACTTGTCTACTATGTTGTATACCTGTAACTAACACCATGTGTTAACTATACCTTGATTTAAAAAAAAAAATCACACACACACACATGCACACACAAATTCTCTATCATTACCACAGTCCTCCCCATACCTTTTATCTGACCTCTAAGAATGGGAGAGGATCTTAACAAAAGTATGATTTATTTTCTTTTATGGTCATTTTTGGGTAGAAGTATGCAATAGTTTGGGTTTCTTCGTCATGTGAAGCTATTATAATTCAT